CTTGTGATTACAGAAGAGTCACTGAAGGCCAAGTGTGGTGGCTCACACCTGTAATACCAGAACTTTGGGAGGCTAACGCGGGTGGATCACGAGATCAAAAGATCAAGACCATCCTGGCCAACATCATGAAACCCCATCTCTACTAAAAATATAAAAATTAGCTGGACAGAGTGGCACGTGCCTGTAGTCCCAGGTACTCAGGAGGCTGAGGCAGGAGAACCACTTGAACCCAGGAGGCAGTGGTTGCAGTAAGCCGAGATCATGCCACTGCACTCCAGCCTGGTGACAAAGCAAGACTCCATCTGAAAAAATAAAAAGAGTCACTGAAGGTTTTCCATAAGGGCAGAACCAAAGTGACACCCTAAGCCAAGCCCAGAGTGGGTGATCAAAATGGGGTTCTGAGTTCCTAAGCTAAAGAGATGCCACCAGCAATAGCGAAGGGGCCACGTGATACATGGAGCGAGGACTGGACAAAGAGGCTGAAGCCCTGAGTTTAAATTCAAAAAGTCATGCAGTAAGGGCATGGCTATGGAGGGCAAGTTATAGTCTCTCTCTGCACTCAGTTTCTCCTCATCCATAAATCAGATGCAGTAAGAATTCATCTCTAAATGATACTCAAGCCTTGCTACTCAAAGTGTGGTCCCCTAACCAGCAGCAATGACATCGCCCAGATGCTCTTAGATATGCAGAATCTTGTGAAAATGCCAATCATAAAAAAAAGAAAGAAATGCAGAATCTCAGGTCCCACCAGAAGAATCAGAATCTGTATTTAAACAAGATCTTTGGGTGATCTGTGAACACATTACAGTGTGTGAAGCATTTTTTCCAGATCTTTTTTTATTCATTTTTGGAGTTTTTTGAGACACAGTCTCATTCTGTCTCCCAGGCTGGATGGAATGCAGTGACATGATCATAGCTTACTGCAGCCTGAACCTCCTGGGCTCAAGTGATCCTCCTGTCTCAGGCTCTCGAGTATTTGGGGCCACAGGCATGTGTCACTGTGCCCGGCTAATTTTTTTCATTTTTTGTAGAGATGGGGTCTTGCCACACTGCCCAGGCTGGTCTAGAACTCCTGGGCTCAAGCCATCCTCCTGCTTCAGCCTCCCAAAGTGTTGAGATTATAGGCATGAACCACTACACATGGCACTTCCAGTTCTAAAATGCAATTATTTCACATTCACCTCAAATTCTGTTACTTCACAGGAGAAAAAAACAAAATACAGTTTACCTAATTTAGCCTCATTCATGCCCATAATCCTGTCTTAGACTAGCCCACGTCCAAGCAGGAGTCTTAGGAAATACCAGTGAGGCAGTGCTGCCACCTTGTGACCATCATCAGTAAATGCACTTAACCCTTGTCACCAGTAAAGGAAGTAGGAGGGCTGGCAAGACCAAAGGGTAAGGGGCAAAGTCCGGGTCACAGAGGAGATAAAATCACAACCGCCCAACAAAGACAGGAAGTAACTGTCAGGGAGCTCAGCCTGCATCATAGAGCAGTGACTCATTGCAAAGGACAGTTGGTATAATATCTTAATATGTGGTATCAGCGGGAAACCTGGTTTCAAGCCCAGCTCTGCCCTTGTAACCTTAGAAATCACTGTAATAGGTATTTTCAGACACCCAGCTCTGGCCTGAACTGCACCAGTAAACTTGTAATTTCCCAAGGAAAGTTACTTTACTGTGACAGTTCTTTTCCATCCTGAGCCAAAATATGTCTGATACACACTCACCAATCCTTGTCCTCCTCTCTGTAGGCTGAAATAAGTCCAACATTTTTTCATACAACCCACCTTCAAATATTGGGAAACAACCTCTATATGACACCTGCCCATCTTCCCCCAGCTATTTCCCACCTGGGGTGACCTGAAGCCCCACACCCTCTGCTCACTTTCCCACAGGCAAGTGAAGTGCAGCAGTCACAGCAGACACCCCGAATCCTAGGGGCATCCCCAGAGCAGCAGAGCCACGGGACCCCCATCCCCATCCTGGCACCTCATCCCTATCTAGCAGCTAAACGCCACACCAGCTGACCTGGGGACGCTGACTTTTTCTCCTTGTGCCACTGCTCAGTCATCCCACACCTGTGCAGGTGTCTACTTTTTACTCAGTTTTATTTTGTAACAAATATTTATTGGAGTCTGCTGTGTACTGTCACTGGAGAGACAAAGGTGAATCACACCTGGTCCCTGCCTCGCAGAGCTCCAGGCTACAGATGGAACCCACTCAAAGCCAGACCATTCAGTGAGAAACACCATGACAGACATCAACACAAGGTTTTCTTTAAAAAAAAAAAATACTTTTTGTTGAGACAGGGTCTCACCACGTTGTCCACACTGGTCTCAAACTCCTGGGCTCAGGACATCCTCCCACCTGAGCCTCCCAAAGTGCTGGGATTACAGGCATGAGCCACTGCACCCACCCAATACAGGGTTTTCTGACCCATCTCATCAATCCTCTGTGAAAAATTTTCCACTCTTGGTTTTCTGGGGTTAGTTTTCCTCATCTGAAGCTCAAAGTGAAAAAGAATGCAAAAGTCCCCAATAGTCCTTCATGCAGTCACAGCTGGACCTGGCATGTCCTCCTGGCTAATCCAGGGTGCTCAGGGCTCCGACTTCACTCTGAACATTTTCTCTCCCATCAGAGCTCACCAGGTAGCTGCACACTAGCCAGGTGGCTGCACACTAACAGAAAAACCGGCAAGTCAGGAAGCTTGCTTTACTCCCTTAACTTTTAGGCTAGTGACCGTGTCACTGAACTAATCCTATAACTTCCCTGCACTTTAATTTCCACGTCTGTGAAGTGGAGCAGGTGGACTCGGTCACCCTAGGTCCAGGTACATAGTGAGAGCTCCTCAGAGACAGCAGCACACCTGATCTTCTCAGCATCCACCATCTAGCAAATACCAGGCACACACCAGGCACTCAAAGCCTCACTGAATGTATGTGTGAATAAAGGACTGCATTAGAGCCACGTGAATCATGGACAAAGTCAACACATATTTCTGAATGTCTACCAAGTACACTGTAGAATAAGGAAATAAGTAACCCAGGCAGGGCCGGGTTTTCTCCTAACTTCCCCTTACCTCCTTCCTGAGGGAGGGAGGGCCTCTGTACATCAAAGAGACTCTTGACACAAATAAATGTTCTTGAGATGCATTATAAGAAGTTGTCATGTTAACAAGAAAAAAGTCCATTTGTCTTGGGGGTGTTTTAATCAATAGACCTGAGGGACCCAAAGCCCCCTCCAATGGGACACAGGATGCGACACTCACCCCAAGTGCACGGAGGGAAAATGAGATGGAGCGAACTGACAGGGAGCAGGACCTGGGAGAATGGAGGGGTAAAGAGACTGTGGGACCCAGAGGAAGGTCTGAAGAGGAGCTCCCGGCCACTCCAGTGGCCTTGGTGTGGACTGATGAGAACTCAGCAGTGTAAGTAAAGTGGCCCCACCAAGCTCCATTTGTACACAGGATGGTTTTTCAGTAAAATGTTCTTCCTGCTAATGAGCTGCATTTTCGCACACTTTCTAATACATCAGGCCCAGTTAATGGGCTACAAAACCATCATCCCATTCAATAGTAATTTATAGAATACTCTCAAAGTGCCAGGCCCTGTGTAAGTTCAGGGAACATAAAAAAGACCACAACCCTGTCCTCAAAGATCCCCATGCAAAGAGCTCCAGGGGCGCCTCTCCCACAAAACACCCTTGCTCTGCACGGCCTTCCTCTCTGCCCTCCACCAACCCAAATCCTCCCCACCCTGCGAGACCAGCTCAAGTCCCACCCGCTCAGTCCCCTGCTCTCCTGCCACTTTGAGAGATGACTGCACTCATATCTCCAGGCTTTATGAACTGATGTCAACTCCCTGGTTAGACTTGAGCCTCCTAAAGGCAGAGACCATTTTTAGAATTTTCCAGAAAGAAGCCACACCAGTGATTTGCATCAGAACAAGCCCAGCCTGTGTCTTCAACTTGAACACAGGCTCAGTCCAGGCACAGTCCCTGGCCCCTGCAGTGTTTCATAAACCCTGCAGTAGCAAAGTCCACAATCAAGTCTGTGACAAGTGAACAGGCAAAGATAATTTGAAAACGTGAAGAAAAAGGAACGGTCAAACAAAACTCAAAGGGCTTTGACTCATGCCTTGCCTCTTCCCTTCTCTCAGGGAAACAAAGTCACACCCCCTGCTCTCACTCCTGCCTGGAGGCTTCAAGGAGGGCTCCCTTGCTAACCTTCCCTTCAGCCCCCATGAAAATCACCCAGCATTCAAGCCCAGCCTCTTCTCTCCCTTTGAGCAAATTTCCTAAAGTCTCAAATAAATGTCAAGTTTAGTAAGTCCTGATATTCCATGACCCTTAATGTTTACTTCAAGTGTTATTACCTTTCTTCTTTCGCCTGGGGCCATTTCCAAACAACGGCTGGACCAGGCACCCCAGCAGCTGGGCAAACACACTTCCAGGGCTCCTTCCCTCCTGTGGCTCCTGTTTCTCAAACCCTCTGGGACCTGCAGCTCTGGGGGTCTTCCCCCACCCCAGTTCCCTCTCCTTTACACTGGAACAACAAAGCCATGGCCACCTTCCCGATGGACACACAAGGAGGCCTGGTGTTACTCGCTGCTCCAGTGGCAATGTTCTGGGCAGGGGGAGCGGCCTCTTGCCCCAGATCCTCTCTGCCCCCACCTTATGTGGCTACAGAATTGGAGGGAACTGTGAACAGAGCGAGGACAGGGCAACTTCCCAGGCAACAACACTACTATTCCCGGTATTCTGTCAAGGATGGGAACGGGAGCACAGAGGGGAAACAGACTTGTCAACATCTCTTCTACCAACACTTAGCACCCACTTCCCTGCCAAATACTCACATAGAGAGGGTCATTGAAAGCTAGGAGGAAATCCAAGTGAGCAAAAAGACTTGAGGAAGAAATCATGAGGCATTGGGGTGTGGGAGGCGGGAAGGAGTACAGGAGAGAACGGGCACAGCTGCCAAGTTATCAGTCACCTTCTTATGTTCCTAAGAACACTGCATTTATTTTGTTTGACCAGTTTCACCTCCCAGATTCCCATAAAGCACATGGTCTAATCTGTTACCTAACAGCAAGACAGCGTCACCTCACCTGTTCTTGCCCTCGAATGGGAACGCTGACCTGAGACTAAAGCGCAGACTACCAGGCTGAGTACCCTGGCCTGAGCCATCCCCAGAGACCAGGAGCCTCCAACAGGGAACCTTCCATTATACTCTTCAAGCAACTTACAGCTGAACCGACAGTTGCAATGAAAGTTCTAATCTCCTCCCTCCTCCTGCTGCTGCCACTAATGCTGATGTCCGTGGTCTCCAGCAGCCCGAATCCAGGTAAACAAGACTGTCTATGAAGGGAAAAATGGGGGGAGGAAATGTGGCAGAACAGGCCGCAGATGCATCAAAATGCAGCCCCTTTTAGCTATGGGGGTTTGGGGCAAGTGAGCCTTTCTCAGTGACAGTTTCCTCCTTTACGAAAAACAGCAAACTACTTAAACCCAAATGATGCTGAGAGAGTTAAATGAGATATTTTCAGTACGTGAACATGTCTGCAACTGTAGCTGATCCCCCTCACACACACAGATATGTATGTATGTATGTATGTAGCATGTATGTACTAACCCAACAAAGATTTGCTACCATACCTTCTCCCCCAACCCTTTTCCAAAAGAGTAACATATATCTCACGGCTAACCTTAATGATAGTGATGGGAGGGTGGTATCTTTATAGATCAGGAAGTCATTGCTTACATTCCTTACAGTGCACCGGACATGCCACCAACATGTCTTAATGCTATTTAATGGTAATGTAATAAACTAGAAAAAGCCTGTCACCAGGTAGTGTCCATATTTGAAGCTTTATCCACAGCAAGCCCTGCTGTAACAGCTCACATTTTGGGGAGCAGACCTTTGCTTAGGGGTTCCAAATCTTCTCCAGGTTTCACCATAAAGTGGCCCAGTCCTTCATAAAACAACCACACAGAAGAGAGATGACCCCCATGTGTATTTCCACTTGGGAGCACCATCTCCCCAAGGGCCACTTTGAGGCGAAACGGCTTTGTTACATACTCAGCATCAACTTGGTCTTAAAATCAGGAAACATTCTCCCTTCTCCATCCCAATTTCCAACATCCCCTCCCGTGTAGAGAGGGCACTCTGAAAGCTGCCAAGCCCCACAGCCCTAGGGCCTAGACCACTATTCCGAAAGGGAGGACTTTTCCATCACTGTGACAGACACCCAGGCTCGAGTCCTTAGCCTGGACTCAAAGCTCTGGCCCCAACCTGCCTTTCCAATGTACCTCTCTCAACTCACTAAAAACTACTCTTTCTCCACCCAAACTAGCCTGTCTGCCCTTCCCTGAACAGGCATTTTTTTTCCCACCAGCTCAACTTTGTTTACACACCCAGCTCAAAACCACCTTCCCACAGCTTCCCTCAGTTCCTCCCATAGTCACAGGTGCACTCTTCCTCCTGAGAGCCGGCTTAGCCCTACCGGATGCTCTCTTCTTGCACTGATCATCTGTTGCCTTATACGGAAGGCCTTCATGTGCCTCTCCTGCCTCCACCCCCTCTAGGCTGCAGCCTCCTTGGCGGCACAGACTGGTGCCCTGTTTCCGTATCCCTTACACTGTCCAGTTCAGCACTCAGCAAACATTAGCTAAGTGCAAGATGCATCCTCAGGTTTGTAAGTCAGACCAGGGCTTCATAGCAGCTCTACTGACATTTGGGCTGAACAGTTCCTTGTGGTGGGGCTGTTCTGTGCATTGTGAGACGTTCAGCAGCATCAGCGTGGCCTCTACTCGATACCAATACCAGCCTTCCCTCTCCCCCATCCAAACCCCTGTTATGGAAGCCAAAACTATCTCCCAACATTGCCAAATGTCCCTGGAAGGGGAACCACCCTTGGTCAACAACCACTGCTCTACACCAATAGTTCTCTACATGGCCACACTTTTAAACTTACCTAGACCTTTACACTCAGCCTGGACGTCAGGGGGACCTATATCTAAATCCTTGCTCTGCCACTCACTTTGCAACCCTGGACAAGTCGCCTCACTTTTTTGAGTTTCAGTTTTATCATCTCAAAATGAAGAAAATACCATTTGTCACACACACTTGTTGTGAAGATTAAATAATCCGCGGCATGACCTAGAAAGGGTTTAATAAATGGACTGCGTGGAATTTCCAAGTCACTCCTAAACGAGAAGGGTGAAGAACTGGAGAAAGCTCGCTGCGCCGCCAGGGGGCGCCATCACAAACCACATAGGGTGGGTAGCGGCGGGCTCAAACCTTGTTTCCCAGCCAAGCAGTTTTGCAATGTGGGCCTGAGTCTGAGCTACTTAGTGGCTAAAGGAAATAATAGCTCCTCTATCCCCAAAATAATTCTTAAAATAAAATATTATCTCTTAATCACATACATGTTAAATACGCTTTTCCAGGGGAAAGGGAAATAGAAATAAGTGAGAATACGCTGGGCACGGTGTCTCTCGCCTGTAATCTCAGCACTCTGGGAGGCCGAGGCGGGTGCAGCACCTGAGGTCAGGAGTACGAAACCAGCCTGGCCAACATGGTGAAACCCCGCCTCTATTAAAAATACAAAAAGTTAGCCGGAAGCCGGGCGTGGTGGCGCATGCCTGTAATCCCAGCTCCTCAGGAGGCTGAGGCAGGAAAATCACTTTAACCCGGGAGGCGGAGGTTGCCCTGAGCCGAGATCGCGCCAACGCACTCCAGCCTGGGCAACAAAAGTGAAACTTTGTCTCAAAAAAAATTGAAAAAAGCCGGGCGGGGTGGCTCAAGCCTGTAATCCCAGCACTTTGGGAGGCCGAGGCGGGTGGATCACGAGGTCAAGAGATCGAGACCATCCTGGTCAACATGGTGAAACCCCGTCTCTACTAAAAATACAAAACATTAGCTGGGCATGGTGGCGCGTGCCTGTAATCCCAGCTACTCAGGAGGCTGAGGCAGGAGAATTGCCTGAACCCAGGAGGCGGAGGTTGCGGTGAGCCGAGATCGCACCACTGCACTCCAGCCTAGGTAACAAGAGTGAAACTCTGTCTCAAAAAAAAAAAAAAAAAATGAAAAAAATTAGCCGGGTGTGGTGGTGCATGCCTGTAATCCCAGCTACTCGGGAGGCTGAGGCAGGAGAATTGCTTGAACCTGGAAGGCGGAGGTTGCAGTGAGCTAAGATTGCTCCACTGCACTCCAGCCTGGGCAACAAGTGAAACTCTGTCTCAAAAAAAAAGAAAAGAAAAGAAGTGAGAATATATGAGGACATTAGGAAATAAAGTACTTACAATAACAGATTATTCATTAATTGTAATATTATTTAATTATAAACATAGTATCAGACACATTAAGAACTCCTATATCACAAGCATTGTTCTAAGCACTTTGCACTCTCATTTTGTCCTCATAGAAATCTAATACATTTCTTTTCTTTACTTTTCATTTTTCAGACTTTCAAAAATATCATAAAAATGGAGTTCCAGTATATTCTTCATCCAATTGTCTTCAAACAATATCTTACGTAACCATAATATGATTATCAAAACCAGATTAGCACTGATATCACAATATTAACTAATCTAAAAATGTTCAAATCTTTCCAATCATCCCACTCATGTCCTTTTTCTGCTCCAGACTCCAATCCAGGATCCCTCTGAATAAAGTGTCACATCTCCCAGGCCTCCTCCAACCTGGAATAGTTTCTCAGTCTTTCTCCCTCTTTCAGGACCCTGACTCTTTTGAAAAGTTCTAGCCAGTTGTTTTGTAGAATGCCCCTGAATTTGGGTTTGTCCGATATTTGCAGTTATGTATTTTGGGCAAGAATACTACAGAAGTGAGGTATCCTTCTCTGGATGTCCCAGGAACGGGCCCAGGATGTCGGTATCTTTCATTACTGATGAGGTTCACTTTAAACACTTGGTTCAGGTGATGTCTGCAGGTTAAAGTTACTATTCGTCTCCTTGTATACTCCTAATAAGTATCTTGTGGAGAGACACTTTCGAGATAGGTAAATAGCCTGTTTCTTCTCATCATACCTTTTTTTCTTGTTATTCACCAGTTACGTCATCATCATATTTTAACATTAATTTCTAGAATCTATGGATGATTGTTTCCTATAAACAATTATTACTGCAGTGTTGGCCAAATAGTGATTTTCTTTCCAGTTTTCCTTCTACATTTATTAACCAGAATTCTGCCATAAGAAAGAGTTATTTCTTTTCTTGGCTCACTGCAACCTCCACCTTCTGGGCTCAAGTGATCCTCCTGCCTCAGTCTTCTGAGCAGCTGGGATTATAGGCACACACCACTACACCCAGCTAATTTTTGTATTTTTAGTAAAGATGGTGTTTTATCATGCTGGCCAGGCTGGTCTCTAATTCCTGGCCCCAAGTGATCCCCCTGCTTCGGCCTCCCAAAGTGCCAGGATTACAGGTACTGGCCACCATGCCTATCCTCTTCTTCCTTACCTATTTGTTCAGTTATTTATTTATATCAGCATGGACTCATGGGTATTTATGGGTTGGAATCCATTACTATCATTTTTTATTATCTTGCTCATATTGTCCCAAAATTGGCCATCGGAAGCTCCTTCCAGTTGGCTTCTGTGACCTTTACATACATCCCCATCATTTTTTGAGCAGTTCCTTACTTTCTGATACCACAAGAAGCTTGAGTCTCCTCTTGCATTTTTCCGCCCCAGTCCTGGATTAGCTATTTCTCCTAGAAGCCCTAGTTCCTTTCATGGGAGAATGATGTTTACAGACCATGGGCACGGATATGCCCATTGCTAGTAGGTGCTAGTGCCTTGAGGCCCTCTAGTGGTCAGAGCTGGGAAATAACACACACGCACACTGGTGTACAGTAGTCTCCATTTATTTGCAGTTGCGGTTACCTGCCAACTGTGCTCCAAAAATACTGTTATCTTGAGAAAGAGAGAGAGAACATATTCACATAACTTTTATTACAGTATATTTTTAAAATTGTTCTATCCTATTAGTTGTTAATCTCATATTGTGCCTAATTCATAAACTTTATCATAAATATCTATGTATAAATATAAACATATGTATAAATATAAATATATATGTATAGAAAAAACACAATTCGGTACTACCTGAGACTTCAAGTATCTAGTGGGGGTCCTGGAATGCATCCCCTGTGGATAAGGGAGGACTATTGTACCATTATTAACCACATCTTACAAATTAGGAAAATGAGGCACAGAAAAGTTAGGAAACTTGTCCAAAGTCACAGAGTACATATGTAGTGGATCTGGGAAACGAAAATAATGACAGATGCACCACAAATCCTAACAAGTGGAAGTAACTTATTTACACATACATATCAGCAGAAAGCCACAGCCCAATATTCCAGCATACACATTCTCTTTGGAAAATAACCAGAACTCCACAGTAATAACCACGATGGTAACCAACATGTACTCAATATCTGCCTGGGCACTGGACTCCCACAGCCGCTCATTTATTCCTAACAACTCTGCATGGTGGATTTTACCATCCTCCTTTTACAAATCAGGGATTCAAAGATTAAAGAAGCCAAGTGACTTGCCTAAGTCAACATAGTTAGGTGACAGAGCCAGTAGCTCACCCCAGGTCTATCTGGATATAAAGTCCATGCTTATGCCATTGTATCAGCATTTCCCAAAACTGATTTTAGGTGGAAAGTAAATAAGCTTGTTTTTACTTTAATACTTATGTGTTTATTTTAATACATGTTAGGAAAAAAATCTAACCATACATCAAACCTGTAATTTCAGTTAATATTGCATAGGATGAGGATGTTTTGCAAATTAAATTTATTTAAAGAAAAAGTATGGCGGGGCACAGTGGCTCACGCCTGTAATCCCAGCACTTTGGGAGGCCGAGGCAGATCATGAGGTCAAGAGATCCAGACCAACCTGGCCAACCTGATGAAAGCCCATCTCTACTAAAAAATACAAAAATTAGCTGGGCGTGGTGGTGCACGCCTGTAGTCCCAGCTACTCGGGAGGCTGAGGCAGGAGAATTGCTTGAACCCAGGAGGCGGAAGTTGCAGTAAGCCGAGATTGTGCCACTGTACTCCAGCCTGGCGCCTGGCGACAGAGCAAGACTGTCTCAAAAAAAGAGGCCAGGCGCAGTGGCTCACGCCTGTAACCTCAGCACTTTGGGAGGCCAAGGCAGGTGGATCACCTGAGGTCAGGAGTTTGAAACCAGCCTGACCAAAAAGGTGAAACCCCATCTCTA